ATGAGGTTCTGACACTTATTAGGAATGGCTTGAAGGAATGCAACAGCAATACCCTTTGCACTTACCTTGAGGAGACTGGTGGTGAGTTGAAGTCGTCCTCTATTGTCAATGTGGTAGCGATAAATGGCCTGAGCCTCTAAATTGAGGATGCCTATTGTTCACACCCATTTCAGAGCGAGCCCCCATTCCTCTTTGTCTGAAAGCGAATTGAAAAGCGCGTAGCAGTTGTAATTGAGGTTATCTTCTGTCAGAAGATGAAAAGGTTGCAGAATACCTTCCTGGAGATTCGACCACTTCTCCTCCCTCAGAGCAGGGTCACATTTCTACAAGAAATCCTTAGCGCCAGTATACTTTTTGACTTCAATTCTATAACAAGAAGGCTGTGCTACTGCCTGAGACAGCCAAAGCTTTCTCTCTCTCGCCTGAGGTGAGTCCCTAAGTTGGATATGGGTGCTAGACATAATCCTAATGTCGGCTTTGAAACAGATTTCTTAATCATGGTATCCAACATTAACAATTAAGCTCCAGTCTGGTATAGCTACTCCAAAGAACAAAGCTGTACTATCTTTCAAGTAATGCATTAAGCTTCTCCCAAAACATTGATGGTGTTACCATGCTGATCTCGCTTTTCCAATATCATCTCACTCTCTATGGTCACGATCATTTTTAGCGAGGGCAAAGGTCAGAGAACCTTTACGGTTTGAGAGGGGCCCGCATACCATTACTCATCCTTGTTCGATTCTGCTTTCAATGTAGAACTTGTCGAGAGTCAAACCTTGAGCTACAACCTCAAAGATATCGTGGTTCCCACATCTTTGGTCTGAAAGTGGGCTGAATGTAGACACAAAAGCTTCGGTACTTGGCTGGGAAAGCACATACGCACAACCTTTACCGACTCTGGGTCTTTGCCGACATGCTGGGTATTTCCAGACTCCAAAACATGTTGCAATCGAGATCATTGATCGAAGGGCAAAAGAGATCTCCCTCAACGTATCTTGCTGGATCTCACAACACAATTCACCGGAAAGAAAATTACAGGATGTCTTCATTGGCAAATGTGCTTTCTAGACCGCTGAGCACGAGTCTGCCAAGTTCTTAAGGTTGGGTGTTCTATCTCCGGAATTTGTTACTCATATTTTTCTGGCGCTGAAGAAGGGATTCCAAGACGTTCGATACTTAGTCTATGTTTCTCGAAATATTTAAAAGCTGAAGGTCGAAGAGTACAAGATAGAAAAACGTAAGTTGTAAATAATTCGCTGCTTTGTATTGGATATCGCTTCGTCTTCTGGGGTGCTTGGCTATGATAGAGCGGCAAGGAAGGTAGAGACGCTTTTCTTGGACATATGACTGGACCTCGTATCTAGTGAGTGGAAATGGTATGCGCACTGACGAGCAATGGAACGAGAATTGAAATCATGCTCATAATACTTCCTAGCAAAGTCACACAATGTCGTTATTCGTCTTTTGTAGAAAGATCACCAAGTAGGATCCAGATTTCCTATCCAGCTCTCCCCAACAGCCCTGAAAATCCTCACCTCTCCACTAACGATATGAGCCATGTTGTACTTTCCTATCTGGACGATTTTCTTGCCACCGGAGTTTTGTTGAACAACTATTAAGTTAGCATTTATAATTTTTGAATCGCAAGAGAGGGCTCGGGAGCTGAGAAGCCAGACTCTGAGCTCTTACACAAAATAGACAGCAATTTAGTATGGAAATAAGCTTACCCTTCAAAACACTATCCGGCTCGACGCCTGTAATGACAGCGGTATGATCCGGGTTTCCAGCCCAAGCCTGCCCTCCATCTGGAAACTTGAAGTGAGCCTTATAAAGTTGGATGACATCGCCCCTGGCCACACCGGCATCTTTCACTTTTCCTTGAGGTTCCGGTTTCGTGGAAGACGGTACATAGGAATACATGAGGTAACCGTGGACAACACCTTGCGAAGCCATACATGGCTCTTGGCCATGCGAGGAACACCCTGCTGCAATGGCTTTAAGAGCGTTATTGGCTAAAGTCCAACACTCGCCGTTACCTACTTGGGTGCCCATTTGTGACTCGCTCCATTCCGCGACAGCATTAGAATACCTAGGTTTGTCAGAACGAGCTTACTTTAAGGATGATTTGCTTACTTCTGGTGATAAGATTCAAGCTCAGTTTGGCTGAGCCTGCGTGGAGGAGGATAATGTCTCTGTTGAGCTTTGACTGTTACAGCGGGATTACTAGCATCCCAGGTTAGATGAATTTTCGAGCTTGCTAATGTGACAGTATTGCGAACGTGGGCCGTGAATGTGTGGGTTTTCCGGACGCCAGAGCTCGACCATCCTGACGAAGATGAATAGAATATTTTACCGTCACGATTCATCGTGGGTGGTGGAAAGGACACGGGCGATCTAGCGAACCATAAGGACTTGAGATCAAGATCGTAGTCTTTCGCCTCATGAGAACTAGTTGGCTGAGAAGTCAGCGGATGATCTCTACGTTGGTGACCCCGCCTGTCCCTGGAAGTTCTTGAGCGAGAATGGTGATGAGAATAGGGATGAGGACGGTGATGAGCCTGGGGTTGTGTTCGCGAACTTTCATTGCGATTATTTCTTTGCTGGGGAAGAAGAGGTGCGTTTGCTGCTAATTTTTCCAACAAGTCTTTTACTACTGCCTCCAGCTTCTTGAACATAATGATCGATCTCGAAGATGTTCAGTTTTATGAAAACTTCAAGATTAAGAAAGAAACTGTTCATCCATAATATCGCACTACGTCGGTACGGACCTGAATCATTCGCATGTGTTCTAAATACCATGATTCGTAATTATATTCTAAAGTCACAACCAATCTGAGACATATATTTGAATAATCTCAAGGGTCATGCAGCTTCAGAAAGCAAATAAGTAAGATCAACTGCTAATGAAAAGCACCTACTTGAGGCTTCGGCTTGCTGCTTAAAGGAATGGGTGGAGGAGTGGGTTCCTGTGAGGTTGTAGGCCCTCCCAATCCCGCTCTCTTCACAGGCGGAGGTGGTGGCTTCTTCTTTCCTAAAGCAGTCGAATTCGGCCCTCCGTTCGTTGGTCCGCCAAACGTATTGTCTCTCATCTCAATTTGTGGGTTCACTGGTTCCGGCGCTTGTGTACTGGAAACCCCCCCATAACTCCCTACTTTGTCTGCAATCCCATATCTAGAATTCAGCTTGTTCGCCGTTTGGAACCCCGACTTGACTTGTTCTCCATGCCGTTCTCGAAAATTGTTTGCCGTGCTTGCTGCAGTTCTTGCATCACTCAGAGATACAGAGGAGGGATCGGCTCGAAATGCTGATGCTGTCTTTAGAGCAGCTTGCTTCTGGGCGAATGTTGTTCCCTCGCTGGGACTTTCTGCCTTGGCTGATGTTGACGAGGATAAGCGGGAGAAGCGAGATTGTAGCTCATTCAATTGTGGTGAGTTGGTGGGAGAGGCAGCTGAAGCTCGTGAAGGAGAAGCCGGGCCTGGTGGAGGTATGGGTTGTCTTGCCTGTGCAATACCGAATTCTGGAACGGACACGCCCGCAGCACTCAATCTGCTCATTGAAGCTTGATTGAGTATTCCTTTATGAGGATCGGGCTCAGAACTTGCTGTGCTATAGGCAGGAGGTGGAGAAGTAGGATTGGAGTTCTGCCTAGGTGGTAACCTCGGTGGGAGACCTGGCTTTGGCTTGGTTGCAGGCGGAGGAGTTCTTCCATCAGTACCGTCTCTCCGTCCTGGGGGCGGTGGGAGATTCGCGGTTGACAGTCCTGTAGTATCTGCTCGAAAAGGGAGTGGAGGACCCTTTGGCTTCGCTGCCTCTTCAGCTTCTCGCTGTGCTTCTTCCTCTGCCTGCTGCTTTGCATATATTTCCTCTTTCGATAAGGGTGCTCCCCAGCCTCCAGTATCCGGAGTTATCTGATTTGGTAGAGCTGCGCCGCCATGATAGTTGACATTCTTCGGAGGCGGACCAAAGGCTGCAGGATCTTTCAGAGTCGACAGAGGTCGTGAGACGTGATCGTGGGCCTTTGTAGCATTGGGGTCCTTTCCTTTGCCTATCCACCCCGCTACTTGATTAATTCCCTTATTATCGCCCCTCCATGATTCCTTCGATGTTCCATCTTTCCCTTTCGGATGCCAGCCGCCCTTGGCGATTCCTTTGAAGTCAGGCATGGTTGATCGCAAGTTGAAATTGGCTCTTCGGTGACGTCGGGGTTTCGAGGTTTAGTGGGGTCGAGAGGAGCTTTGGCGGGGTGTGGCTGTAGAACCCACATCAAGAACTTTAGGACTGACTTTATTTCTGCAATTGTAATTCACATTTCATTCAGTTCCTTGCGTGAAATTAGCACATTATATTGCCCAGGGATGTGCTGTTGTTATGTCTTGTATAAGAAGCGTTCTGGAAAAACGTGAATCCATGACTGACTTTACCTTTCGAGAGTAAATAGTGGTCGCAAAAGGCATCATCACCGCTCAGCAGGCGCTGATATTATAGAAGAACTGGATAATAGTCTACAGGCTCACGCATACCCATAAATATTAGAAGTGCTGCATTTTAAGTTCCGACTGAAGGCCCAAGAAGTGCGTCGAAGAATTTTATTTTGAGCAAATTCCAACTTGCTCTGAATAACTCCACCAAACTAGAAAGAATTCCTACATAACATTTAAAGTTTCTAAACTACTATCTTACTATATATATCTTACTTTGGCTACCTACTATATGGAGAGCTCGCTTAAACACTGAAGGCTTATTGAGATGCGTGGGAATTTGTTGCTTTTCATGTATGACTGTTGAAGTTACTGCAACTGGCAAAAAGCCTCCAAAGCAATGACACAGAAAGGCAATATAGCACTGTGAAGAGCCAAATACCAATCCTGAAATCCCTCCATGAGTCAAACAAATGCATGATACACTGGGGCTGAATATCCGTGAAGTGGCTACGGCTGAGGAAAGGATACCCATTCTGGGACCTAAAAAAAATGTGAAGCTTTGCTTCTTGAAGATTATTACGACCCAGGGAAGATTCGAACTCCCAATCTCCAGAGATATGGTTTAACCGAAATCTGGCGCCTTAACCATTAGGCAATAGGGTTGTTAGTTTCATTGCATTTTTCCGGGGTTCAGGAAGTAACTAACCCACTCTGTAACAATTGTTAGCAATGGTTCTTGAACGAATGAGCCATGGGGCCACAAACAGGCCGAGTTTTCAACAGTGTGTTGACAAAAAAATCGCTTATTTCATTACATACTAGTGCGACCATTTTCCTCTGATACTGGCGGTCAATTCGACCCACATTTAAACGCTACAGCGCTAGCCTAAAACTGCAAGACATCCAAATCAAAAAGCTACGCATCAAAAGAATTAATTGTAAATAATCAAGTTCTAAGCACGGCTACACGGATGGATTTAAACAGAATAGCTGACTATCATATAAAGCAAGTGCAAAATTTTACCACAAAAGGGGAGGATCTGTTGCCATGATTTCAAGAGATTCCTCTGGTCAGCCACACCCCACTAGACTTATCTCGCGTCAAGCCACGCGAAATCGGAGCTACAATCCAAGAATTCCAGCTTTAAGCTTGATTGTGTGACTGAGCTTCAGCTCCTACATCTCTCACCGCTCCGTGCAGTCATACGAACAGACATAGCACTGTTCTCCTGCTAATTTTGACTATCTTATCTTTCAATTGATCAAAGAAGCGTCAATTGCTTTTCGCAACCTATTGAAGAGCTCTCAATTGACGGTCAAGATGTCAGCCTCGATACCAGGCAATAGAGAGCTTCCAGCTTCTCAGTATGATCTCAGCACGTACTGGGGGCGCGTGATGCACTCCGCCAACATTTCAGATCCCAGGTGAGGCGAGTGTTATGTTTCATTTAAAAGGTGGTTTTGTTAGTATGTTGTGTCGAGATCGAGTGCTAAACTTTTCTCAGAACACTACTTGTCAATGCTGCTGGTTTGGAGCATGCGAAGAGTCTGATTGCCGGATACAAGCAAGGAAAGATTGGGGAAATGAATACAGAGCTGTGGAATGCGAAGAAGATTGTTGACTCGACCTTACATCCAGGCAGGTGCTACCAGCCGCGGCTAGCAATAGATGCTGATCGTTGCAGATACCGGCGAACCAGTCTTCCTCCCCTTTCGAATGTCATGCTTCGTCCTGTCGAACTTGGTTGTTACGGCTGGTATGCTTACTCCTGGACTCGGGGTATGTTGTTTCTTTTGCCCTCTGAAACCCAGCACTGAATCCATGGCAGACTACAGGCACACTCCTCTGGCAAATTACCAACCAATCTCTTAATGTTGCAATTAACAATGCAAATGCCAACAAATCCACACCATTGTCCATCTCCAAGATCACACAATCATACTTCCTCGCTGTTGGAGCTTCTTGCTCCGTGGCATTGGGACTCAACGCTCTCGTCCCACGGTTAAAGAACGTTACGCCCGCTACGAAGATTATCCTCTCAAGATTGGTACCATTTGCAGCTGTTGCAAGTGCAGGAGCGCTAAACGTCTTCTTGATGCGGGGAGAAGAGATCAGACAAGGAATTGACGTCTACCCAGTTCTTTCGGAGTCGGACAAGGCCAAACTTGCAGAGGAAGGCAAATCCGAGTCCTCGGTACCATCTCTGGGGAAAAGTAAGAAAGCAGCTACGCTTGCTGTCTCGGAAACTGCCCTGAGCAGAGTTTTGAACAGTTCTCCCATCATGGTTATCCCGCCGCTGATTTTGGTCCGATTACAAAAACAAGAATGGCTGAAGAAGAATCCAAGACTCACTCTGCCTGTCAATCTGGGACTGATCCTGACCACGAGTCTGTTTGCTCTACCCTTGGCATTGGCAGCATTTCCCCAGAGACAGAGTGTTGATGCGGCAAGTTTGGAAAAGGAGTTCTGGGACAAGGGTGGTGAAAACGGCAAGGTTGTATTCAACAGAGGCATTTGAGACTGCGCGACTCTGAACACGTCTCCCAAATAACGACTCGAAAAGACCAGTTCGTCGAATTTCAGAAAATGCACTCAACCGGCAACAAATGAACGGCGGCAAAATTAGGCATTTTCATCCCAAAACAGCATTTCGAGCATGGCGTTATGATGGCTGGGGGCCTAGAGATTCACAGCAGACAAATAGAACTCATAAATGGAAAACTGATCACGAAGCAACATGTACAATCGAAACTCCGGTTCAAGATATCCGGGCTCCTGAGACTATTATGATCACGTGGCTGCCCACATTCCATCCCCACCATTCTCCGGCGAATGAGGTCTCCGCATGAAATGATGCGACGATGAAGGCGATCACACCTCTCGCACGTCCATACTAAGCTTTTCACAGAAACATTTGATTTATTTGTAGCTTCATTTGTTTCCAAAGTGTGGAGGACTTCAGTGTGAATCTCCGTGAGACGTAGTGGCACGAAATGGCGATCCTTCGCAGGTCGTTTGTGAAATTGCCACTCCAGAAACCCGATGTTCCTATTCGAGGAGGAGAGAGGGGTCAGGCCAAACGCGTACAAACGCTAGGCTTATCACGAAATCTCTACATTTTATCGGAACATTGAGGCAATAACCGGAGGCGAGGAGGGGGCAACTTTGACCTGGTTCAATCGTGAAGGATTCAGAAGTGCCACTTTGGACGCGATTTGCTTGATTTCTTGGGGCTTTTTGGCCATTCTTGGTTGTCAAAAATAAAGTCTGGTGAGTCCGGCAAATTGGATCGACTCGAGTTCATAGGAGGAGGGCTGCAAGGCGGAGGACCGGCTTGTCTGCTGAGCTTACGACCAGGGAATGTTACTGGTTTAGATGCGGAAGGTCTTATTGGGGAAGCAGCTTCAGTTGATTATCAGAGCATTGGGGTTGAGGGGACGGTGGTTGCCCAGAGTGATTCCTTGAGTGCCACCGCTGGGACGCGCGGGCAGGACCTGAAGAAATCTAGATGCTTTACTCGTATCGCAATAAAAATGACAGAGAGCTGTCCACAGTCAAGAATGATGCAAAGTTAGCCAGAAGTGAATGAAGAGAAGTGAGGCGGCGCGAGGGAGAATCTGTATCTGTCTGCTTTCTTTGCTGCGGCGCCCACGCGCCTGAACAGCCAGTGCACTTCCTCGCTAGTCGCTAACCACGACGGCAAAGAACGAGCCCGCCCAACTTTCATGAGAAGCAGCTTTCGACACGCCAACCACTTGCTATTGTCAAGCGCGACCGACATTGTTCTCCAGTGCTTTCAAGGATAGACCGAGACCACAAAGTCTTCCACAGATCCCCCGAACAATGCTTCGCGTGGAGATCTAGTTCTTTTCAGCGCCCGCCCGGTGGACCATTCCGACCACCAGATCCCACAACAACTGCGAGTCCAAGCCTCATCGACCATCAATCCAGTCTACAGCACTGCAGAGTTGATGCTGTAGATCCCTCCATCATAACACAGGCCTGCTGGCGAGTCCACGATAAAGACCTCGGTGCTGTCGTCTGAGCCCTTTCCCGGGTTCGAAACGACTACATTTCTCGATGTCGACGCCGTCAACCCTGCCCCCACACCACCCCAACTACGGATATTCTCATCACCAGAACTATCAATCGAACGGCGGCTATCGAGCGAACAACACGCTCTTGAACGGCGGCAGCCGGCTCGGAGCGTCATACAACTTCCCGACCCCCTCGAGTAACGGTACTTCTTCGAACAGCGTCGGTGTAGCCGACCCCTCACGAACAAGTCAAAACGCGGCACACTCGTCCTCAATACACGAAACAAAACCATCAGCCATGCCTATATCTTCGTCAGCCTCAACATCGAGGCCGAATCCGAAGAAACGACAACGCTCCCGAGAACCCAGGGAGCCCGATTGGCACAAGTTCTACAAAAATGGCCTGCCCAAAGAGGTCATCGTCATCGATGACTCTCCTACCCCCGAACCATCAGCATCTATACTCTCAAATGCTCAAGCAAGCCGTTCCATAGGTGGCGAAGGAAGTAGACATGCTGCAAAGAAACGAAGACGAGATGACGTGGGCTCTGCCTACGATCCTGTCTATCACCTCGAGCCCTCCCACTCTCTCAATCAGAGTCCCGAATACAAAGATTCGTCCGGGTCAACGATCTCAACCGATCGAACCACATCTGCCATCCACACAACAGCAGCTACTTCTTTGGGCTCCCACTCTTCGAATGGACAGAGTGGATACGAGGCTGCAGAGGTCCAGCCAGGCCAGAAGAGAAAGCGCACTAATACTCGACTTCAACTTGCCAATGAGGCAAGGCAGAAACAACTAGAGACTAACGGCGATGCCTTCACCAACTATAAGCCTCCGCCGAGACCACCTATCAAGGCTCCGGATGTTCAGGTGAAGCAAGTGGCTGACGTGAGTACTCGATCATTTTATGCAGGAATCCGCTCTGACAAGAATCAGAATTCGTATACCAAGAACAGCAAGGTGGACGACGATGATGGGCATTACATCGTTGTACCAGACACTGACCTGACAGACCGATGTGAGTATTACTTGCTCCAGCGGACCCAAGAGATACTGATTATCTTTAGATCAAGTAACGAAGCTCCTTGGCCAAGGCACATTTGGCAAGGTCGTGCAAGCCCGAGACAAGAAGCGAAATAAGCACGTTGCGATCAAGATCATCAGATCAGTCCAGAAGTACCGAGATGCTTCACGTATAGAACTCCGAGTCCTGTCGACTCTTAAGGCTAATGACCACGAAAACCGAAACCGATGTATACACCTTCGGGATTGTTTCGATTACCGCGGACATATCTGCATTGTCATGGATTTACTTGGACAGAGTGTTTTTGATTTTCTGAAGGGCAACGCCTTTGTCCCATTTCCAAATAGTCAAATTCAGAGCTTTGCTCGGCAGCTCTTCACTAGTGTTGCTTGTAAGTATTCTCGTTGACAAATGACATGATGTGAGCTAAATGACTCTAGTCTTACATGATCTCAATCTCATCCATACCGACCTCAAGCCAGAGAATATTCTTCTGTGTGATAGTGCATACCAGGCATTCACGTACAGTCGAAGGATTCCTTCTTCATCAACCACAGTCAATCGACAAGCTGCCCAGCGCAAAGTCCTTCTCGA